TTCCGGTCAGCGAAACGCCTCGTTCGGCGGCAGAAATAGGTCCTGGACCAAAACGGCTCGCCGCCGCGTTTTCCGCCCAGTGTTTCGCCCCAGCGGCAAAAGCTGGGCGGATTCGCTAGCGGATCCGCAAGTGTAAACGTACCATTACACGCGTTTCCTTCGTTTCGGCGTTTTGAGGCGGGACCCCGATGGCCATCCTTTGCGACGTCAGGAGAAGAGCGCTATGGCCTTGGCTTCTAGGAGGTGTTGAGCGATGTTACCGAAAAGCGAAGGAGGTGAGGAGGAAATTCGTGATGTTTGCCATATGGTGTCAAAATAGAAATCAGACTACCAGACTTCAACTTCCACGACTTTTGACGGAGCTGTGTCGCCTCACGATTTCTGAAGTATCCTGTTTGGACAGCCTTTTATACGTTCAGAGCTCGCGAGTTTGGAATCAACGAGTGTATCACGAAATGCATAATTGAAATTGAAGAGCGCTTTGAGTTAGGTACCACAATCTGTGGTTTCATTGACCTGAAATAAGTATCACGAGCGCTGTTTTGCTCCAAGAATGGTGCACAACAGCCTCATGTATAGTTAAAAACCTTTAGCAGTGGCGCGTAGATCTGTGACCGGCCAAGTTCGGGAATCAGAAAAAAAAAAAGCTAGAACGGTGGTAGGAAGGTTTTGTGGGCTCGGCCACAAGCATACAGTACACTAAAGATTACTGGAAGATCCATAGGTGGATTCATATGGAATGCGTTGGCATGACCCTTGGAAACGCCGAAGACGCCCTTTGGGAAACGCTAACGCTGACGCCTTCTATTTTCTCTTTTGGTTTTCTTTGTTGGCTTTGTATTCTGCTTAATCTATTTGTTCTGCTACCTCGTTCTGGCCTTGTTACAAGATCAGTGTTAGCGTTTCCCAGAGGGGGACGTGTGTGGCATTTCTCAAAAGTGAGGCTTCTTTATAACTCCCTCTTTTACTCTTGCTATAATTACTGCTTCCTTGTTTGGGGTAGCACAACGGTTACAAATATGCATCTCTTGGATGTCCTCCAAAAGAGAATAATTCGAATAATGTACAATTCGGAGTTCAATGCTCACAGATTACAACCTTTCAAAAACCTTCATATAGCTTCAATTACAGAGGATTATAATTATAAACTCCTTCTAGAACATCAAACGTCTGTAAGGCAAGATCAACTTGTTTTTCTAACAATCGCCAAAATAAAGCGGAGAGTTCCTGCATATGCAGGCCGTCATGTTGACACATGGTCAACGCCTCGCTCGAGAACAGGCTACGGCCTCCAGAACAGTACTCGTTGCCTAATGTTATAAACAAAACACATAGACTTGGCTCGGATTTGGTGGGTTTGAGCAGAAAGGATATTCGTTCGTTGTTTCTCTAGTGTTATTTGTGCCTATTCTTGATGAGTCCTCCGACCTGCAAGAAATGTTCGTAATAAATGTCACATATTTTTTTCTTTCTGTTTAATGTTTTGTGTTTTGCTCCTATGAAAACCTTGTTCGACGGGTTACTAGTATGTAAAATAGATTCTCTCGTTGCTGGTGGGGAGGGGAAACTCTGTCAAGCGACAACAGTCTGCTTTTTTTTTTCTTCCTCCCCCTCTCCCTTGGAGAGAAGCAAGAAAGTTGAAAATTGAAAGTTGAAAAATATTTTTTTTTAAGAATCCACCATGAAATCTTCCTTAATTTTGTTTATACCTTTTCGCTACTCTGCCTGTCAGATACGTCGACGTCCTTGGCTATGGTCATTTATATCACTCGTGGAAAGATCCACGTCTATACCACTCGTGGAAGGAACAGCGTCCATATCATTCGTGGAGTGAACCGCATCCATGGATTTGACTACAAACACATCGCAGACCACGTGCGGCTAATACGGAAACACCGAGCAACGAACGACAAGTGTTGGCAGAGCGGCAACTGAGCACGCCCGCATGCCACCGCGCAGCGGTGTAATACCTCCTACATCAGAAAGCCGTGGCGCTGAATGAGATGGCGTCATCAGAGAAGGACAACGCTGGACACAGATTGGACACAGCGATTGCTTAACGCTCGGCTCAAACTAGAAGCGAAGCCGAGCGCGGACGCAGCACTCGTTTCCTATCTTTGTCCAGCCTTGACATTCTCTGATGACGCCATCTCATTCAGCACTTCGGCTTTTTCATCGAGGAGGTGTTGCACGGCGTCGCCTCATCGCTGGCTCCGCGCCCGCTGTTTGCGTGACTTTGACGAAAACGAAAGGGCTCGTTTTGATGAAACGATGGCGGTGTCTGTCAATTCGTCGGCACCGGGGAGAGAGGGAGGGGTTGAAGTGGGCTGACGTCAGCGCTTCGGACAAATTGGAGCGTCGCACGCGTCAACCTCTCCACCTCCTTGTCTATCTCTCTCGCCGATGTTGAAAAAGACAAGACACCACGTGGTTTTCGTGAAAACGAGCATGCTATGCTTACGCATTAAAACAATCCGGGTTTAGCAGAAAGCAAATTTACCTCGCACCACCGTAACCCGGTAGCTGTAAGCTAGTGGCGTGGAGCGTCCGCCTCGGCCACGGGGGGTGATCGGTTCGGAGCCCACCATCGGACACCCACCAGCTAAAGGGGTAGAAACGTCTCCCGACCCCGGCGCTCGGGTTCACATCCAAGGGATGACGTTTGGGAGAGGCTCCGCAAACCCCGCTAAGCCTAGCTGCGAACACTTAACCGCAACCGTTCGTCGGTTGCGGGGTATGCCAACTTTGGTGGCGTTTTACACTCGTGCAGATTTTTGCTTTGGGAAACCAAGTGAAAAGTTGAACGCACGCACGCACGGACGTACGCGTACCTAGCACCACATCGGTCGTTCTGTCTGATTTCCTTTACTGCTATTATTTTAAATTGTAAATATACGTACGTGCGCCCCTTCCGTCACAGCTCAAGCCTTTTCAATCCTCCCCCGAGAGCCCAGTCGCTTTTAGGGAGGGAAAAACAGGGCACTGCAGAAGACAGCTGTATTTGTCACTACGATAGAGCTGCTTTTGGGCCACTGGTTCAACATGACTATCCACAAGTCGATCGATTGCACCAAAATCGCTCAAGCGGTCTTATGTACTCTTTATTGTAAAGCAGAATGACTATCTTCGACGGTACACAAAATCTCGTCTCGCTCTTACACCACGAAATCGCGAAATACGCGCAGACATCTACCACAATTAAAGACGTCATTTACAACGCACAACATTGCCATGGTGTTGTTGGTGAATCACAGAAAACAAAACCATGTTTATCATCTGATGGCGCTCGGTAACAGGAAACATACCCAAACGAAGCGTGCAAGGCGAGCAGTCACCCGAAAGTAACTTGTACGTAAATTTGCAGAGGCTATGATAATGCAATTAATGCGAAGGTGCAAGCGAGCTGTACAAAAATGACGACAATAATCCCTGCAGAAGGGGGAAAAAGGGGGCAAAGGACAGGCACAAATCTCCAAACACAGCTAGGTGACTTGTGCGCGACCAAAATATTCCGCCTGGTCCTGATATCGAACCAGGGACCTCTCCATTTCCAGTGGAGCGTTCTAGCAAATGAACTAACCAGGTGTTAGACCTCAATAGAGCAAACGGGTTTTATCAGCTGCCACCAGTCTAGCACAAGCAAGGATGAATGGCGTACAACAAGGCAGACGGCCGTTTTAGAACAGTCCACGTACACTTAAAAAAAAGGGTATCGCCTTACACCCTTTTGTCCCATATAACGCACCCCAAAACTTCAATTCGGCATACAGCGCCCTATATTCGAACAGACGGCCCCAAATTTTATGAGGGGCCTTGTGTTGTCTCATTGTGTTGTCTCCTTCCTACTCTTCGTCCCTGTCGTGAAGCGCTATTATGTTCTCCAGGCTTGATAACGGTGCGATATACCTTATTAAATAGCTAAAATACGTATGAAATACCACAGGAAGAAAACACTGAGGTTTTGCAGTAGGGCCGAGAAAACCCCGATTATTTTTTTTTGTAGTCAGTAATACGTGCATTAGCTATTTTAATGAGTTGTACTACATGGCTATCAAGCCTCTTGAGAAATCTTGAAAAAGTTAGTACCGTCAGATCGACGTCAGTGCGATGTGCGTCGAACTGATGTTTTGGGGTGCATTACATGGGACAAAGGGTGTAAGAATACACCTTTTTTTTCTGAGAGTGTAGCACTGGCTGGCACTGCTCCGGAACTTCGCTGTTTCTAACAGCTTTGTTTGCTCGCTTGACGAAACTAGCGGTAAAAGTGTCAATGCCACCGATGTGATCTGCGTGTTTGAACTGGGAGACTGAATTACCGCCAGCCTTCGTTGCCGTTGTCGCTCAGTAAGCTCAGAGCCGCTTATTAAATAAAGATTTGTCACGCGCTCGAAAAACGAAACCGTCGAACGAAGATGAGACGGGTGGGAGGAACCTTTCACCAGTTCGCCTGAAAAAGGAGAACACAACATCGTTCCCCTCTTTTTCTCGTGTCCGCTTTGGCTCTCGTCACACAAAGGGAGGAAAACGCACAGTTGCTACCTTTTTTTCTTCTTTTTTTTTCTTAGAGCGTGGGATCTCCTTGCAATTGGTGGTATTTTGTTCGCGCGACGTGCAACGTTCGTAATAAAAATCATACTTTTAAATTTACTAATGTAGACACTAGTTGTACCGGACGTAAACATTTTCCCTAAACAAGTCCTTTAAAAAAATAATAAAACATTATCTTTTTTTTTTGCGCGATGCGATGCGATGCGATGCGTAGTCAGATCGCACAGGCGCGATTTGACCACGCTTTGAGAAACCAGGTCTACGGCGTGGGCAGTATAATGTAAATATAGAATAGATACATTGGAAAGAAAGGCATATGATCAAATTTGGTGCTTTGTCATGCAGCACAAAGTTTTGAGCCCAGGAAAAACCTTCTTACTGCCTTTTCGTCCTTTGCCAATAAGTAGTCAATTTTCGCTATCCTAGATGAATGTTTCAAAATTCATACTCACGTTCTTTCGGCACCAGCGCCCAAATCTCGGAAGCCTTTTCTTGCACGAAGCGCCGGTACCTGTGTACTGCCGAGGTGCCGAGCGCATCTCCGGTTTCGGGCAGGCTGAATTTTTGCTCCTTTAGGAGCAATCGCAACCTGCGCTGGAAAACGTCTGGACACACCGTCGTAGTGTTTGGCCCGTCCAGGTTGGGCGAGATCGATGCGTTACTTGCGAGAGTGACGGTATTTTCTGCCTGCGTCAAAGTCGATGATTCGTAGGTGTCACCTAAAACGGAAAAAAAATTGAGCGATATTTTATATCAAAATACTGCAACCTTTTAAAGATTTTAGCAAGGATGGGGCACAAAACAATATTGTCTTCAATACAAAAGTGAGGTCGATGGGACCTCCGCACATACAACAAAATACGACTGCATAAAAGTACCATTCTACCTGCCTTGGTAGCCGAAAAGTAAATACAGAAAACGCAGCATAAGCAACGAAGATGTTTTACAATACGCTGTTCATCTAACAAATAAAGATTCCTAGCACGAGCTCTCTAACACTTCCCGGGAGTTCATTCCAAATTTTGATGCAGTCGGAAAAAAATAGTATATCTAAAACAGTGCAGTGAAGAGAAGTATGGGACAATGCTGGCAGATGATGGCAACTTCTAGTTGAAAGTGATTTTTTTTGTTAACAAGTAACGGAGAAAGGGCGTCAAGTAATAATCATTTTTTATAAACGGATAGAACATTTTTAAGTGGTTTGCGACTTGCCAAGACGAGAGCAGCTCACGGCTTAGTTGTTTCCTTTCATATTATGGGGAAAAAACACGACCATACTGACTAAAACTTAAACGTTCTGCACGTCTCTGGGCGGCTTCTACTCTATTTAGGTCACCTATCTTGCGATGATGCCAAACGACAGAACAATACCGAAGAAGTGGTCGGAGTAAGGCACTGTATGCGAACAACCTTGTTTGTTTAGAGGTAGGCCTGAACGTTCTCATCAGATACCCCAGGCGCCTTAATGCCCCAGAGCAAAATAGTATATCAATATGTTTCATCCAGCTTAAATTGTGAGTTAGCGTGGCGCCCAAGTACTAGTACTGAAACACACGATCAAGGGGCCTTTTATACTTGAAAGTATTCATATAAAAAGTTCCTTTTGTCTTTGTAAATGACATAAATGCACTTTTGCGAAACTTAACTTCCATCTGCCAGTCATGGCTCTAGGAGCAGAAACGCTCAAGAGACTGTTGAAGGAAAAGCTGGTCACTGACTGAGTCAACTTCCCTATTTAACATACAATCATCAGCGTTAAGTCGGATTTCAACTGATATATTTTTAACTACGTCAATAATGTAATAAATAAGTAATGCAACCAGAACCGAGCCCTGTGGTACTCCTAAACTTACATAGACCTTTGTAAGTCCTGTTACTTTTATTGTTCAGGCGCTCCTGTGCTGCTGCGTTCTCGCTAATTCTGCTGACTGGCTGCTGTCACCAACGTGCCCTGAAACTGCCTCATCACCGCCGACTTTTTTCTGCCTGCGTCCCCGGACCTACTTGTCAGCCGAATTCCTACCTACCCGTCAACATCAGCATGGCGCAACGATCAGTGACGTCACCTTCGGGGGAAGTTACAAAGACTGGCCCTCATCTCTACCTCTTCAGTGGGTATGGCGAAATGAAATCAACTACGATGCTGACCAGACCTGTTCCTTTCATTGTTCAGGCGCTCCTGTGCTGGGGCGCTTTTGCTAATTCTTCTGGCTGGACACTGTCGCCCACGTGCCCTGAAACTGCCCCATCACCACAGACCTTTTCTGCCTGCGTACCCGGACATTCCCGTCAGCCGAATTTCTATGTAACCGCCGATATAAGCATGGCGCTACGATCAGTGACGTTGAATTGGGCGGGAGTTATGAAGACCGGCCCTCACCTCTCCCCCTTCAGTGGGCATGGCGAAACGAAATCAACTACGATGCTGACCACATATGTTCCTTTCATCGTTCAGGTTGGTTATGAATCTTGTTCTGGGAGATCTAGCAATAAGTGTTTTTGTTATTTTGTCATACGCAGGCGCTTCTATGTGTATCATGTACGACTGCCTTCGTGTGTGTAAACGCCTTCTCTGTGGGGATGAAGAGTCAAACCTTGGCCCCTAATTTCGAGGGTACCATATCCAGCATTCTCTCTGGGCAAGCTGAAATTCTTAAAGGCATTAAGGCGCCTGCTTCATATGCAGCAATAGCTGCCCTTAATACCGAAGTTGCGCACCGTGAGAAGCTTCTGCAACGTATGAGCTCTTCAGCATACAAACTGTATGGCCTAACTAGTGCTATATGTTTGCTCCAGTCAAATGCAGCGCAACAGTGTGGAAAGCTCGTTTATTTCAAAGACCCCAGTCGCCGCTGCAATCTGTTGATGTACGGCCTGCCGGAGGCGAAGGACGAAATGAATATTCAACCTAAAGATCAGGTAGTAAACGAACTTAAAAAAAAAAAGAAAAAAAACTAGATGTAAAGTGGTGCTCAATTGGTAGAATTCACAGGCTCCGCCGAAGGAGGGCAAATCGTCCTGTTATTTTGTACTTCCAAGATTACAGCGAAAGACAAACTCTACTCCAGAATGCAAAGAAACTTACGTGCACTCAGATTCTTATAAAAAGATTGTTATTCCCGGTGTAAACTTCAAAGGCGACCTCTGCTGTGGGAAAGTGCTAAGCCTGATAAGGTGAACGGAAAGCGTGTTTTTATAGTTAAACGTTAGGTTACGTATTGATGACTACACGGTTTTCCAGGATAGCAACAGGAACGCATGAGTTAAAACTTCGTCTGCATATCATTGACCTGAGAGCACATGACGCCCCCTTTTCTTCACTGCAGCATACATGCCTTCTAAACATCAACTCAAGAAGCACTATCAACGAAACTGCGGAACTTGATAGCATTGTGCTATGTCACGACCCTCACGTGACAGTTTTAACCGAATTCTGGCTTAACGAGGAGATATGCGACACAGATACAGTTTCTGGCTCCTACAATATATACATAAGAGATAGACCCTTCTGGTGGTGGGGAACTAGCTGTCGTTTAAAAAGTAATTTATCTGCTGTGTTGTTAGATCAGGCACCTGACCATGAAAGCGTGTGTACTACGGATTGATTACAATAGAAAATCAATAATCTTGTTCGCGACGTACCGCTTGCCCCCTTGAAACATAAAATTTTTGTCTAAACTACATGATCATTTGCTCAAGTACTCTAAAAGCTGCATAATAATTGTCAGTCGCATTAATTTACCGAACCCAGAGTGGCATGATTTGTCATTCATTTCACCATGCGACCAAACCGTCTTCGACATTATGTTTCCTCGCCATCTTTATCAAGCTGTTGGTGTCCCCACGCGAGTGCCGGTAACTTTATCCTCTCTTCTGGACCTTGTTTTTCTTGTCTTTTATAGTAGATAACTTTCTGATGTGCATGTAACAGTTGAAAACGGGTTGTCTAATATTAAACTTGTCCTTTTCACATGCCATCTTGGCAGCTCGGACGCGCCTGCTGCTCAGGAACAGCTGTTAAATTATATTCAAAGGCTAATGATTAATCTGTTCTTTTTTACGTTGAGTTAACTCTTGATTCATTTTGTGGGAATGGTGCTGATTGTTTGTGCAACAAATTAAAAAATATTTGACATTTCCGTCTTCAACATTTTATCCCAAATAGAAAAAAAAAAACGTGCACCACAGGATCCCCTGGACCCCCTGGAACATAATTCATCTGGTGCGGAAAATAAAACGCCATGGAAAGCGTTGGTCAAACAGTTGTACAATTGGAAATTTAAAGATAACACTTGTGGAACAATTTCCGCAAGTAAAGAGTTTTAATATTCTAACACGCTTTCACGATTATTTCAGACTGACCGGGAAACATTTTGGTGACATCTCACAACAAATGAACAGGACACCGTCGATTACGTTAAAATTTGTGAAACCGTGAGTCACGACAAGTAGAAAGTAGCCACCGAATTTAATCTGTTCTTTCAATTTCTGTTTTCACATGCCAGCCCACGTCAAACTCCCTTTGGTAATTGAACCGGGATTAGTTCAGATTTCATAATATTTAAAGACATTTTTTTCCATGTTGCTTAATCGTAAGCCGAAATTATCATGTGGGTCTGATAACATTGCCAACACGTCCCTTCGCCGTTACGTTAAATCACTCGCTAGGTTTTTTGTTGCCATTTTTCGTTCGCCATTTTCATGTGGTGTTGTTCTCTAAGATTGACGCATTGCACGTGCTGTTCCTGTATTTAAAAAGGGAGATGGTTCGCTGCTAAGAATTACCGTCCCATATATCGCTACAAGCACATCATGCAAGCTCTTAGAACATGTCATTTTTAATTACATTATTGAATTCTTAGATAAGCATGAGATTATCTCGCCTTTTCAGCGTGGCTTCCGTTAAGGCCTTTCCACTACCACACGACTTATTTCTACCATTCACTCTTTCTCTGTAATAGTCGACAGACCCGGCCAAGTTGACACAATCTTTCTCGACTTGAGCAAAGCATTTGATAGGGTCTCCTCATTCCCGGTATCTTATTCAAACTTAACTAATTTCGCTTTCCCCGTACGGTTGTAGAGTGGATCTCCTCTTACCTATAAATGCAAAAACAATTTGTCGATGTAGACGGTCATTATTTAGGTACTCTTTCTGTAAGTCCTGCTGTCCCGCAAGGAAGTGTCCTTGTTCAGCCACTTTTCTTAGCTTATATTATTGATTCAACCACATGCATCGACGAGAGCGTGCGTATTCGCTTATTTGCAAATGACTGTTTACTGTTTAAGGCTATTAACTCTATTAGCGACCTGGTTGTGTTGAATGAGAGTCATAATGCAATTTCTAATTGCTGCAATCTCTGGGAGATGAAACTTAATCTGCAAAAAGTGCCCCCATGTGTTGGCAATAAAATCATTTCTGAAAAAGTTTTAACAACCTTGGTGCTGCGATTACTAACGATTTCTCTTGGACCTCACACATTGAACGCACCTGTGCACCTGCATGTCGCAAAGTAGGTATAGTGAGGCACAAGCTTAAATACGTACCTTGTCATGTCAAACTTCTGGATTATAACACTCTAATAAGGTCTCGGTTGGGGTATGCTTGCACTGTATGGGATCCTTTTATAAAGAAAGATATTAACAGGCTTTATTGTTTTATTAATTTATTTATTTATTAATACTCTTAGTCCGAGGGCCGATACAGGGTGGAATTCTT